TGGCGGGGAGCAGGGCTGGCCCGTGCGCACGCAGATCCCCGGATGCTGCTGGTCCCACGCACAGTCCTGGCAGAGTGCATGGGCTATTCCATCCTGCCCCGCCCCGCTTCCCTTTTTTCTGCTGCGTAGTTGCGTACGTAGTGTGGGCTTGTCTACCAGCCAGGCACTACACAACTACATACTGATACTCAACATGATAATAATAAAAACTCAATTAGAAAATACTGGACATTTCTATGTCCGGTAGTTTCTCTATTTGTTTCCCAGACAGAAAACTCAAATACCAGACTGTCCGGTTGAAAACTGGACACCTGGCAACCCTACTGATTGGGCTGTGCCAGGGCTTTGGATGCAGAGGGAGCACACAGCTCTCACGGCCAACGTTGTGTGCAATCAGCACGCGCCTCACTTCATGTGCCCTGGCTTTACATGCATGTCACTTTAGGAAAAAAACCTACGTGGATGGAAAATGGTGGAATCTGGCAACCCTGTGCGTAAGCAACTGTAAGCAAAATGCGTTGTGGGCCACACACACAGCACCAATGGGCCAAATTCGGGCCACGAGTTGCCCACCACTGCTCCAGCTCATGCCCCGGCCACCCCTCACTGTCCCCCACTGGGTTGGCTGTTTCTTTGATTGCCCTCTCCCTTCCTCTCTGGTCTCAGTGGCTCAGAATAATTTGGGCCTGGCAGTTATATAAGGCAAATGCTCCATTAATCCAGCATGCTCGGAAGGATTAGTGCAACATAATAATGGGAGAGATTAAAACATTGCCTTTTTATGTGAACAAATTCTGCAACATGAAACCCATTAAGACATTTTTGGATGCAAAAATAATGAAGCTCTAATTGCCCGGGGGCTGTCAGCAGCATGTGCCTCATTAATAAATCGTGTAGGCAGGTTTGCACCATGCATCCCCGGTAGTCACAGACTGAAACACCATTAATAGCAGCATTTTCAGTGAGGGAGAAAAGGAAAGGGGTGAAAACAACACCCGCGGGTTGTGTCACACTTTCCAATAACTAAAAAAGCTTGGTAAAATTTAACACTGGTAAAAAACGATTGTCTATGCAGAGACACTTGGGAAAATGCAGCGGATGAGTTAAACTGTGTGATGCCCCCTTTGTGGAGACTCGTATTCGGAGTGAAAGTGGCTTTCGTTCAGCTGATCTTAATTTGCTTCCAAAGTTAATTAAGCTAAACCAAATCTAGGCCCCTTTAAAGGAGTGTGTCCACATAGGAATTTCATGCATTTTAATGAATCCACTTTAAACATCCAGATTCATTTTCCTGCATGTTCCTGTGTAAATAAACCCAGTGACGAGCCCTACAGGTAAATCCTGGGCCAGAGCAGCGACACCGGGACAGAAGTCCCCCTCCCACAGGACAACTCAGTTCCATGACGTTCTCTGTGCTGGACAAATGCAGACAGCTCCTGCCCCAGAGCCCACATTTTAATGAATCCACTTTAAACATCCAGATTCATTTTCCTGCATGTTCCTGTGTAAATAAACCCAGTGACGAGCCCTACAGGTAAATCCTGGGCCAGAGCAGCGACACCGGGACAGAAGTCCCCCTCCCACAGGACAACTCAGTTCCATGACGTTCTCTGTGCTGGACAAATGCAGACAGCTCCTGCCCCAGAGCCCACGGGTGAAGGAGGTTCTGCCTCGCTGGCCCATGCAGACCCTGGCCTCTGGTGAGGCGGAAAGCAAAGGGGAGCGACCGTGCTCATGGCGTTACAGGTCCTTAGGCCTCACCTAGCACCCTGGGAAATCAATGCGCCATCGGCCACGGGGAGGCTGGGCTGGGGTGCCCGCCGGGATGCAGTTATTACGTGGATTCCAGACTGACTTGGCGCATGCAGGCTTCCTGAGGGCAGGAACATCCAGCCCTGCGCTTGCGCCAGGAACGAGAGGCTCTAGTGCTCATGGCCAGGCCCCTGAGCCAGCCAGGACTCTGCCCTGAGGAACAGGGGGCTCCGGAGGAGCTTCACAGTATTAACACCCTTCCCCAGAAGGAATTTCTCCCCCGGGGCCTGGCCTCGTTGGAGTCAGAGGGGACTTGGCAGGAGCAAGGGCTGTGTCTCAGGCCAGGCCAGCTGCCCGGCTCTCTGTCCATCTGCCCCCTCGTAGCCGCATTGTCCTGGCTCACGCAGGCAGCTGCACTGCCGTCCTTAGGCAGGACTCGGGGACCAACAGGAGCTGCCCGGTCTCCCCAGTTGCCCTGAAACCCTGCTTCCCTCACGCCCCTGGTTCTGGGCAGCCTCCCTCGCCAGGGGCCTGCCCCCTGCCACCCGCCAGTGGCTTTGTGTGCTGCCCTTCCCATCCATGCACCAAGGAGTCTGAGCTCCCTGTCCCCCATACCAAGCTAATTCCTGCTTTCTCTTGCAGGGTTTTCAGCTCATTTGTGCCTGGGCAGGGCTGAAAGGGGACGGGGGGGCTGGGAAATGTTAATTTTTGCCATTAGCTGGTCCTTGTAGAGTTACAGACCTAGTGGAAGTTGCTGGGTTTGCTAAGCAGCTGCCAGGGGCTCTGGCCATTTTCTCCTTTCGGCGTCTCTGATTTTCACCAGAATCACTAGGCTGACACCCACCCAGGCCTAGACCGTTCCCTGGAAACGTGGCAGCGCTGTGGCGGGAGGGTTGGAAAGCTCCTGGGTAGCCGACAGCCAGGCAGCCGCCGGCAGGTGGACGTAAGGGCCTTGCGCGCGCGGCGGGCTCTGAACGCCTCGTTCAGCCCATTCCGAAAGGCAGAGGGGCAGTTTTTCTAATTGCCAACTCGGGCTGCAGTGTGAGAGCCAGGCTGGGCCCTTCCCTGTCCCGGCCTCAGCCCCATGAAGGGTGCCACCGGCTGGCCAGGGCTCGGGCAGAACACACAGGGCTGGCAAGGCCCAGGTTCCACCCTGCGTTTGGAGCCGCGGCCACAATTCTCTTGCTGCTTCAGGATCCAGCCTAGCCAATGTCTAAGACTCGCAAAGGGGTTCAGGCACCCAATGCCCATGGGAGTTAAATGCCCAGTTCCTTCAGACGCCTCGCCTTCAGCTCTGCAGGGCCGACTGGAGTCAGTGGTAGCAAGACGTTACTCATGGCAGCAGGATTTCCAAGGCCAGAGGAGAAAAGCTGCCGAGTAGGAGCCCTCTTGACAGCCACTCTCTAGCACTGTTGGCAGCATGTCAGGCGAAGGGGGGAGCCAGAGGAGGGGAGTGGGTACAATTGGCACCTCCCCCAACCATCCTTTTGCTGCATTAAAGACAGACACGATTGCTACGGCCCCGTCAGTCAGGTGCTAGGATACAAAGTGGGGATGGACCTGCTTCCACGGTGCTTTCTGATCTGCCTGATGCAGGCAGCAGCTCCTCTGGCAGGGGACTGAAGCAGCAGAGGGAGGGAATAAGGTCAAGGAAACATGGCAGCATTAAATACTGCGTGGTAGGAAGCGCAGGGCAGCCAGCATTTTGGATTGTTAGGAGGCGTGTCCGAAGTGCATTCATGTGCTGGGGTACCACCCACATCAGGCCTCGGTATTGCACGGTAACATCTTCGTGCCGGACATGCGGGTTGCAGGACGGAGCCCTGACGTCTGGTCTGTCCCCAGCTCCACCACTAACTCCCACTGTCAACCTAAGTCAGGTACTGGGCGGCTCCTCCCCCCAGATTTCCCTGGTTACTCCCTGACCCTTTTTTTTCTTTTTGCTTGACAAATTTTTCCTTTGTTTTTTTTGGAAACCACTTGCAATCCTACAGGCGAGCTGGGCGGTCGCCTGGGGCCACCAATTGGCTAGGACCGGCCCTGCCTCACGGAAGGCTGCAAAATGGGGCGAACACTCACCTCATCCCCGGGACAGAGGCTGTGCGAGTAGATCGAGCCCTTTCACAGAAAGGCACTGGACGCAGTTCACGCATGCACAGGCACTAGTTGCGCTATCGTTATCGTGCGGGGCGCAGGAAGGAGAGGCGCCAGCCCCCCTTGTCGCAGCAGGGAAAGAAAAGGTTCTTCAGGAGCCCATGGAAGCTGTGCACCCACTTTTGGAGCGAAGTTGGGCACCTGGTGGAAGCTGAACAGAAACGGGAATTGCCCCCGGATAATTCTGGGCTGGTCTCTTAGAAACACCAGGAGGCGCCGAAGGCGGGGGGAGGGGAGGGGGAGCTCTCCTGCGTACTAACATCTCCTGCGCCAACGCCCTTTCCGATCCCGCACAGAAGGCTGCAGAAATAGCTGAGGCATTTCCACTGGGGGGAGTTTTCTGGTGGAAAAACGCCCTTTTCACACAAAACAATCCTGTACCTGCTGCAAGGTAACTGCTGCTCAGCAACATCAGACTCTCCCTGCCCCCCGAGGCAGCTGGTGCCCACACGCGGGCGGCCTGGCAGCTTTGCAGTAGGTAGCCAGGACCAGGATGAGGAAGAGAGATGGACAAGGCCCTTGGGAACTGCAGAGGGGGGAGGGGCTTCCCTGCTTGGCACCTGTAGAGCTTTTTGGGGCCCAATGGGTAGGCCTGGAGGACCAGCCATCATAAGCCGATTGATTCCAGGCCAGGAAGATCCAGTCAACCATCCCTCCAGGCCCAGAACGTGCTGGCTGGTGCTGCCCAGCCAAGAGGTGTTCTCTGTGCAATGAAACTACGGGGTTCGTGCCCCATTCTTACTGGTGGCTAGGATGTCACTGGATGCTTGCCAGACAACCAGTCCCCGCCCAGCCCAAGCAGCCCCTACTCGCAGCAGGCCTGGTCTGGCTGGAGCATTGCGGGCGGGTGGTCGCTCTAGCTCAGCCGGGCCCCCGCCCAGGGGATCCTGTTTAAGTGGTTTACCAGCTGAATGTAACGTTGAAGGGGCTGAATGGGATTTTACAGCCCTCGTGGCCAGTAGGGAAGTCGGAGTTTAATGCCCCTTTTGGGGACTGCACAGTAGAGTCAATGTTGCATCGGGGTCAACACCATTCCCTCCCCCCAGACAAGTTGCAGGGCAGAGCTGAACACACGGCCAAGCTGGCTTTGCCATCATTCCCCACTGCTGGGAGACCCTACGATACAGCAGAGTCGGGGTTTTACAGCACTGCCAAAAGCCATTCTCCCTGGCGGGAGCCATGCTCTCACAGCCCATCCTTCCCTCCTCCAGCAAGATCGGCCTCAAGCCACTGCACCCTGTACACCCTGCCATGTCAGTGGGCAGGGAGCACGCTGGGTGCAGAGGGGTTTACAGGGATCCCCTGGGTCGGATGCATGCGAGGGCTCTCCCCACAGGCCGGAAAGCATCACTGGGCCCATCCCGGCACGAGGCACAGATGGAGGAGTTTGGTCTCTAGGCTGAAAACTGCTCCCATGTAAATGAAGACAGGTCACCAGAAGCTGGTGTGTGCAGTTAGGGGCACGAGACACTTATCGGCCTGGCTGACCACTTACAACGTGAGTCTATTCGACCAGGGAGCCACCAGCTAATCAGGGCCGCAAAGGCAGCGAGCTCACCCCCGCCACATGAAGGAACATGCTGTCTGGAGAGGCCGCCGTGAGACTAGACCAAAGAATTCACCTGGGCTGTGTCTAGACTGGCCAGTTTTTCCGGAAAATCAGCTGCTTTTCCGGAAAAACTTGCCAGCTGTCTACACTGGCCGCTTGAATTTCCACAAAAGCACTGACTTCCTACTGTCTGAAATCAGGGCTTCTTGCGGAAATACGATGCTGCTCCCGTTCGGGCAAAAGTCCCTTTTGCACAAAAGGGCCAGTGTAGACAGCTCTGATTTGTTTTCCGCCAAAAAGCCCCGATCGCAAAAATGGGGACAAAGGGGACAAATGGCTAGAATGCTCGTATGAACCAAGGGTCACACAGCTGACCTGGCTGTTCAGTGCTGCAAGAAAGGGTCGTGGCCCAAACCTTCAGACAAGACAGCATCTGGTTAGGCAAGTGTAGGCTCTAGAAGGCATATCACAAGTTTGTTTGAGACAGAAGGTTCCCGCATGCTGAGGGCAGGGGCTAGCGCCCCCGGGAAGCAGGTCTCGCACATCCAAGCATGCTAAACCACACGGCGGAAAGGCTGCCACGTCTCGGGTGAGGTACAGCAGCTGTCTAACACCCCCTAGCATTTTAAGGTTGGGAGTAGAGAAGAAGCGCTTCTGACCGCAGAAGCAGTGTTAGGTAGTTGGTGAGCAGTTTGTCAAAACTGGGATGTGGCAAAGAAAAGTCAACACGCACTGTGCTGTCTGAATGGTTTTGGAAAAACCTGAAACGGAACCTGCCGCTCTTCGAAGAACGCCACAGCAGAGAGAACGGTCGCTGTCTGGTTGCATCATGCCCGTGTTTCTCTGCTGCGCCGTGGGCAGGTAACAGTTAACAGTGAGACCTTGCAAAAAGCAGCACACCTGAGAGACAGTGTACATTCATATATAGTAAAAAGTCTTTATTAAGAAGGCTTTGACGTCAAAAAATAAAACTCTTGATACAATTTCATAACCGTCAAGTCAGCTCAGCAAATATATAATCAGTACTTTAGCCATGTAAGGTTAAAGGTCCGTTATTTTCTTTTAAAATAAAATATATTTTAGTTCTTAAAATTTATTCAATAAAGTACATATTTTCCTATAAATTCCCTACATATACATAAGAGGTAAAAAATAAAAAAATAAAACTAAAAAAAATCCCAAAACCAAGGAGGCGATTGAAATCATCTTTTTTGTGTGACATGACATGCTTAACTGCACCCCTCTTCTTCCCTCCAGCCCCCGTCAATTCACCTGTCCTTCACGATGCATTGTGGGCAGCTTTCACATTGGCAAAATAGAAGACAAAATTGTGTTACAAAAAAAAATATATATAGATATTATTTATAGAACCATCGAGAACCGTCCAAAAATAACTACATACAAAAAACCCAAAATGTTATAATAATAATAAAATGCTTTTAAAAAAATAAAGACAACCCTCGTGTGTCCTAAAATAAAAAGTGCAACCGGACCTTTTCTTTCTGTTTATTTCACTTTGCAAACTGAATACTGTTATTTGGAAAGAACTGGTGAAGAACAGCTGCTCTTTCTCCTCCCCAGAACTCCACACCTGGGTTAAGAGTTAAAGCTATTCTGTAAACATTTGATTTTTTCTCCCCTCTGTAATTTCACCCCCCTCGTTCCTGTCTTTTTTCCTCTGCTCCCCCCGCCCTCCCCGTGATCTTCCTCTCCAGCGTTCTATCCAGCAAGAAGCATCGTCTTTCACCCGACCCCCACCCCCGCAGCCCCAATCCCATCCCTTAAATAAAAAGGTTGATTTAAACAGTTAAAAGTTCTTAAAAAGCTGTGTTGTAGGGAGAGGGGTGAGGGTGGGGGCGGCTGCCCAGCTCATCGGACTCGGGATGGACAGCTATGAGAAGATGTGGATGGCTTGAGTGGCCGGGGTGTGGCAGGCCGGGCAGCCACCCGACCCCCACCCCCGCAGCCCCAATCCCATCCCTTAAATAAAAAGGTTGATTTAAACAGTTAAAAGTTCTTAAAAAGCTGTGTTGTAGGGAGAGGGGTGAGGGTGGGGGCGGCTGCCCAGCTCATCGGACTCGGGATGGACAGCTATGAGAAGATGTGGATGGCTTGAGTGGCCGGGGTGTGGCAGGCCGGGCAGCCCGGCTCGGCTTTGCCGCAGATGCGAATGGCGCACTCCATGCAGAAGAGGTTGTGGCCACAGGGCACCAGGGCGGCAATGACCTCGCTTTCGAAGCACACCATGCACCCC